CCCCACCTGCGGGTCCCCACTGACGCTGAAGCGCCACTTCTCCTTCGTCGACTGCCCCGGCCACGATGTGCTGATGGCAACGATGCTGAACGGCGCCGCCATCATGGACGCCGCGTTGCTCCTCATCGCCGCGAACGAGCCATTCCCGCAGCCACAGACCCTTGAGCACCTGAAGGCGGTGGAGATCATGAAGCTGCGCAACCTGATCATCCTGCAAAACAAGATCGATCTCGTGGGTGAAGTCCACGCGCAGGACCAGTATGACAAAATCCGTGCCTACATTGACAGCACCATTGGTCTCAACATGCCCATCATCCCCATCTCCGCACAGCTGAAACGCAACATTGACTACCTGCTGGAGTACCTCTGCCACATGCCGCTGCCGATGCGCCAGCTGAAGTGCCCCGCTCGCATGACGGTTGTCCGCTCCTTCGACATCAACAAGCCCGGCGAGGTGGACATCGAGAATCTCCGCGGCGGCGTGGCNCGCATGACGGTTGTCCGCTCCTTCGACATCAACAAGCCCGGCGAGGTGGACATCGAGAATCTCCGCGGCGGCGTGGCGGGCGGCACCGTGACGCAGGGCATCATCCGCGTGAACCAGGTGGTGGAGATACGCCCCGGTCAGGTGCACACGCAGACCGGTGGTACGTTCAGCTGCACGCCGCTCCGCACCCGCGCGCTGACACTCAAGGCGGAGGACAACTCGCTGCAGTACGCCATCCCCGGCGGGCTGATCGCCGTTGGCACCACGCTCGACCCCACGCTGACGCGCCAGGACAAGATGGTCGGTCACATGATTGGCGACGAGGGATCGCTGCCGCAGGTTTACGCGGAGATCGAGGTGCAGTACTTCCTTTTCTCGGAGATGGTTGGGCGCAGCAAGCAGCGCGACCGCAATGCGAAGCGGGTGCAGAAGCTGAACCTGCAGGAGACGCTCCAGATCAACGTGGGCACACTAACGGCAGGTGCCACTGTAGTGAACATCACGAAGAACCCCGACATTGCGAAATTGACACTAGTGACGCCCGTCTGCTGTACGATGGGTGAGCAGGTCGCCATCTCCCGCCTTGTAGAGAAGAACTTCCGTCTCATCGGTTGGGGCACCATTCGCCGAGGGGCGCCGGTGAAGCTGAATTGATGGGGAAAAGCCGCCCCGGCACGTATGCATCTGGGAAATGAGGGAGGGGGGACTGCTCGTCGAATTTTACGAAGCAGGCAAGCAGAGAGGTGACGAAAGAGGAAAGAAGGAATGGCGCCCTTGCAGTTTTTTTTTATGCCGCTGAGCATAAGGCGCGATATCACCATTACTAAGCAGGATAAGCACATGCATTAACAACAAAAGCAGCAGCGGAAGACACGCACACGCGAATGCGAGGAGGAGGCCGAGGAGGAGGGGGTGTAGGAAGCGAAGACGAGCACGGGGGACGTGAAGAAGGAGAGCGGCGCACACGTACAGTGATGAAAGGATAGAGGGGAATGGAACGGGAAGAGGCAAGAGAACCGAGAAGAATAAAACAGTGACTACATTACCTATCCCTGTACGTGTGAGAGTTTGTCAGCGTTGCTTTGTATTCACCTCTCCTCCCCCCTCCTCAGGCACTCCCCGCCTCGGCGAGGAGGAAGGACAGCAGGCCGCTCTTTGATGACCTCCTCGCAAGGGCTGCGCGTCTTGAGAAGAAGAGTTCCTGTTGCCTTCTATTACTCCCTCGTGGTTGCTATCGTGTATCGCTTCGTGGTGATGCACGTGATTGCCGTTAAACAAGAGCTCTGTGNACCCATATGAACCCTCGCTTGTCCCCTTTTTTTTCATCTCGTTTGTTTGCCTTTGATGTTGCTGGTGATTTGTGGTGGCGCCTTTACAGGGATAGAAGGAAGAAGTGGGGCAGGGGCAGTCCACACCGCGCAGAGTCCCGCTGCCACGTGACGACGCACAAGAGCCCTCCCGAGGCATCTCACTTGGAAGGTTGAAGGGATCGAGTAACACGTAAAGAATAAGAAAACTAACGCCGTGGGCAGGCCGCAGCGGTAGTTTTGGGGATGTCGCTGTTCTACAGCTACATTGCGCGCGATGTAGTGGAGGTGGAGCCGGTGTACTTCCCGGAGCGACAGGCCCCCGCCACTTCATCATCCTCATCAGCACTAGCAGTGGCAGAAGAGGATGCGGAGGAGCACCTTGGTGAGCAGCTGTACCAACCGACGTTCGAAGACATTCTCATGCACCGACTGACGGAGCGGTACGTGGGAAAGATCGTCCCCGGCTACGGCCTCTGCGTCGCCGTGCACGACCTCCTGCAGTACACACCCGGTGTGGTTCGCGGCACGTCCGCCTCGGCGTGGCTCACGGCACGGTTCCGGCTGTGTGTCTTTGCCCCAACACCAGGGGCACGACTGCGCGCGACGATTAGCGCGCAGAACCGTGACGGCATTTTTCTCTCGCTGGACTTCTTCCAGTTTGTCTTCTTTGTGCCAGGCGACCTCCTCGTGTCGCCGTCTACATACCACGCGGAGAAGAAGTGTTGGGTGCTTCACGTGGAGGCCGACGAGGAGGACGACACGGCGGAGCCGGCGCTAAACCCGTACGAGAATGGCGACGAGGTGATTGTCAAGGTGGAGCGTGTCATTGTGCGTGAGCTTGTCGACTTCCACGGCAACGTTGGGACGAAGGGCGGCAGCAGCGGTGGGGGGGCAGCGGGGGGCCAGATGGGCGAAGGCGCGTCAACGGCGCAGTCGCCGATGGAAGTGCTCGGCAGTTTTGTCGGCACCGGCCTTGGCCCCGTGCTGTGGTTCGAGGAGTAGCGCACACGCGGGCAGGCGGACGCTGCTCGGTGGGGCAGCGGTGCATATATGAAGGGCGGCGTTATCTCTCTCTCTGTGTGTGTGTGTGTGCTGCTTTTTGTTCTCCCCCCCCCCCGGCGCACAGTGTGCCTGCGGAATGGGGGCATATGTGTTAAGACGGGCGCAGTTGCAGCGGCATGCCGCCTCTGGCAGCGCGGACGCGTCTCGAAAACAAGCTTCGACTGGCACCTCTTCCCACGCTTGCTCCTTCCTGTGGTTCTTTTTTTGTTTCTGTTGCTTATGTTGTTGTCTCCGCCGCACTGCGTCGAGTGTGACGTGGTAGTGCACTACCCGCTTAACAAGAAACAAGTACCTGCAATATGGAGGAGAACAACGGTGACTTCGCCCTCGCCCCGGCGGCGGCGGTGATTGTGTCGCCCGAGCGCTTTCAGTTTACACCACGCGTGAAGGAGGAGTGTGTTGTACAAGTCACAAACGTCTCCTTCGAGACGGTGCTGTTCCGAATGCTCACGACATCCCCCCAGCGGTACCTCGTGAAGCCGACAAAGGGCGTCATCAAGCCCAACGCGTCCGTCAACATCGTCATCGTGTTCAACGTGAGCGTTGCAAAGAAGGAAGGGAACCCCTTCCTCAAGTCAGATGACTTCCGCTTAGAGTATTCCATCATGCGGCCCACTGACGTGATTGGGCCGCACTGCTCAAATGTGGTTGCCATCGTCAAGGAGCGGAAGGCGGCAAACAGGCGTCTCGTGCACGTCAAGACACTGCGCTGTACGTTAAACCTACCAGAAGAGGACGAGGCGCTGGCAGCAGACGCAAACGCAGACGCAGCAGCAGCAGCAAGAGGCACCTCGGAGAGACAGCAATCCCCTGAAGGAGCAGAGACAGAAGCAGCAGTAGCCTCGCTCGGGTCGCCGGAGAGAAGAGATACGAGTGCTAATGGGAGTGCCAGCGCGGGCGTTGCGAAGATGGACCCGCGGGAGCTGGAGCAAAACACACTGGCGGCAAAGAATCGGCGCCAGCTTGCCCAGCAGCAGAAGAAGAATAACAAGCTTCTGCTCATTGTGTTCGGTGCACTGGCGGTGCTGTTAGGCATCTTGATTATGGCCCGTTGAAATATGTTGAACGTGACAAAAGAAGAAGTCCGAGGAGAGGGGGCTTACGTCACGTGGATTCCGCACAGAAAGCACGGGAGATGAATGACCGAATGAAAGAAAAAAAAAAGGGAGAAGGGAGCCCCCCGCGTGGAATAGGCATGTAGTGTTCAGACATATTGGGAAGTGAGCATGTGTGTATGTGAAGGGAGGAGGGGGGTTTGTCTGTAAATCTTCAATGGCACTAGGGAAAGGAAAGGGATAGAGAGAGCGAGGGGGGGATAGAGAGAGCGAGGGGAGAGAGAGAGAGAGAGAGAGACGGCGGGAGTGGCGGATGGGGGTTAAAGAACGAAAAAAAAAGGATATCACTTGCGAAAACCCCTCGCTGTCTCGGCCACTGGGCGTGTATATATGTGTGTAAGTCTGTGTGTGTGTAGCTGCTGCTCACCCCCACAACGTAGCTTCCCCCCCCCCGCCGCCCACCGGAGGTTGCAGGAACAGGGCACGCTAATGCAAAGAGATATACGAGGCTGGAGCTTTTTTTGGAAGAAGAACAACAACAAAAGTTTAAACCCCCACCCCAGGAAAGAACAAAGCAAACAAGAGGAGAATATGATGCAACAGTGGAGCCACGGAGAGTGTTTCTATGCATAGACGCGCGTACATGAAGTAAGAAGTGTGATAGCGATGAAGCGATGGACAACGTGGCGAGGAACATGAAGCCCTTAGGATTTCACTTCTATTCCGTACTCTTTCCCTTTTACCAGGCCTCTAAATCCCTGCGCGCTATCGCTGCTGCTGCTGCTGTGGCCTGCTACTCACTTTCTTCACTGGGCTCGCTGTATTTTCTCCTTGTGCTGGTCTTCCTTGTTGTTGTTTTTTTTTTTGTGTGTGTGTTGCGGCTCCGCCTTCACGCTGGCAAAGGGAGACCGGTGACACGAAAGAGTCATTTGGAAGAGTTTAGTTTATAAAAAAAGAAAGGCTTTCCAGCACGGCCGACCACCCGCCTGAAGAATGCCGCGCAATCGATCAAAAAGGAAGGGCACCGTGGTGCCAGGAAGTCATAACAACCAGGCCGCGGGTGGCAACAAAAGCAATAGCACCAGCGGCAACAAGACCGAGGGCCGCACAGAGTCCGGAAAGGGGGCGGCCGGGAAAAAGTCAAGGCGGCACACCAGGAATGGGCTTGGCACCGCTGCGCATAACAAAGGAGGGGACAGCCCGTCCCCGCAAACTCCCCCTACTACTGCACAACTGCCAGCTAGTTTGACGCCACGCATCTCACCCAGTGCGTTATCCAAGAGAGAAACCTCCACTGCTAGTGCTCTCAACAGTACGCCGAGTTCACTGTTTACGGACCCTCTCATGCGCAGCACACGGTTTCGCTTCAGTGATGTCAGCAGCAGCGACTCAGGCCGGACGCGCCCCACCGCTCCACAACTCACACGCCGCAGAAAATTGGGGCTTCATCACGCAGGCGTAATGCCGAAGCAGCATTTGGTGCGGTCCGTTTACCCCACCAGAAGCACGCCACACCCCCCTCCGGTGTACGCACGTTACATCTCAGGCGTCAAAGGCGATGATGCTAAAAAGGACGGCAAAAACCACACCAGCGGATGTGCGGTGAGTGCGGTACCTCGCTTTGGTCGTCGGGTGGCTCGGAGGATGGTTTCATTGATCTTTACAAGGGAAGAGTTTGACGACATCCCCGCATCGAGCAAAGTGACTCCAGAGCAGGTGCGAAATCTCAAGGCGATTGATCGGTTCCTTCCAGCATTTGCGAAGCGGCCGGCATTCTATGCTGTGGACTTCTTCACCCGACGTCGTGTGATGCTGGTTCTGCTGATCATTTCGATCCTTCTTTCGTGTTCTAACTTCCACAAGGATGTGTTTTCCCTCACATCTTCGTTCATTGTGGCAGATGAGGATCGACCAGGTCTTTGTTTCCTTCAAAATTACACAATTCGGCGCAAATATCCCATCATGATCGTTCCAGGGTTCAGTTCGACGGCATTGGAGGTGTGGAATAATGAACTGGAGTGTGCGAAGGCTCAGCAGTTCTTCACCTCAGACTTCCGTCAACGTATGTTTAGTCCACGGATGTTGTTTTTGCTCATTAAGGATCCTGCGTGCTATCTACAGCTTTTCTCTCTCGATAAGATCACTGGCTATGATCCACCGGGTGTGAAGATCCGTCCGGATACGGGCTTTAGCGCGTCCGACTTTTTCATGCCCGGGTACTGGGTGTGGGCGAAGGTGCTGCTCAACCTCGCCGACATTGGCTACGACCCGCAGAACATGGGCGTCTTCTCGTACGATTGGCGGCTCTCACCACGCCGCATGCACCACCGCGACGGGCACTACTACTACCTGCGCAACCACATAGAGTACCTTTACGAGAAGAATAAGGAGCGGGTGGTTTTTATCTCCCACAGTTACGGTTCGTGCGTCCTCGTTGACTTCTTCCGCTGGACAGATGAGCATGAGCCTGGGTGGATGGACAAGCACGTCGCCCACTGGATTAACATTGGCGGCGCGGTGATGGGTGTGGCGAAGTCCGTGTCGGCGGTCCTCGCGGGGGAAGCCAAGGACACACTCACGTTACCGGGGCCGGTGCGCCAGATGCTAGACACCCACTTATCCCGCAATCTGCGCATGGAGGTGGCGCGCTCGTGGTCATGTCAGACGGCGATGTACCCGCGTGGATGTAACGATATCTTCCCGGATATCATTACACTACACAACGGCACGCGTCTCACACCGAAGGAGGTGTTGCACCTCACTGCGCAGCAGCTGCGCGAGAGCGGCCACAAGGCGCAGGAGCAGCAAGTGCAGGAGCTCATCGAGCACTTCGGTGAGCTGCCCTCCCTCCCGCCGGCACCGAGGGTGTCGGTGCTGTGCATGTACGGTGTCGACCGACCGACGGAAGTCGGATATGTCTGGAGCAACGACGAAGGCGTGAACGTCACGTATCAGCAGACAGAGCGCGCCACCAACGGCGTCATTCTCGGCGACGGCGACGGCACTGTGCCGCTCCTCGCGCTGGGGTACATGTGCCGCGCAGAAAACGGCTGGCGGCGTAGCGTGGGGCGCGTCGTCACGCGGGAGCACAAGCACAGCACCGGCTCAATGATGGACTTTCGCGGCGGCTCCGTCAGCGGTGACCACGTCGACATTCTTGGCAACTACGACCTGCTGGAAACCATTCTCAAAGTCGTCTCCGGCAACGCGGAGACGGAGGACGAGCTGCAGGACCGCATGTACTCGGACGTGGACAAGCGCATTGCCGAGGCGACGGAGTGCGCTGACAAGGACGCGCAAAAGACCGGCGCAACAGAGTAGTAGTTGGGAGGTTGGTAGGGGGAGAAAAACGGATCTGAGATCTCACGAAGATATGTTCGCTTGTTTTTCTTTTTGTGTTTGTTTTCGTTTGCTTCGTTGTGGTTGATACTTTTATTTTCGTGTGTGTTTTTTTTTTCTTGTTCAGAACATCATCCTACCTTCTATCTTGCTCTGCGCGTGCGCGTGAGCGCCTGTGTGTTTCTGTGCGTATGCGTGGGTGTTTGTCTTGTGGGGTTTTTTTTTTAATGATGTTGAGGCGGTGGCTGTGGTGAAATTGCTTCAGCGTTGCGTTATGCGTGTTTTCAGGCTGCTCTCTTCCAGCCCGCGCACACATACACACATATACAGACACGTTCTCCCACAACTACGGCCCTCTATGCGTGTGCCATGGAGGGTTGTCGACGAATGTGGCGCTGTGACTGTCGGAGTGGCGGCTGATTGTTGTTTTGCTTCACTCCTCGCTCCTTCCTTCTCATCCGCTCGGTGTGAACTCGGCGCGCAGGAGCTGTGGTGGGCGCGGCACAGAAAGGGAACGACAAAAAAAGGGGGGTGAGAGTGTGGTAGGAAATATGCCAGCAACACGAAAGCAACACGCCCCCAAGGTGTCAGCGGGGAAGGAGACAAAGACAGCAACAGTGGCACGGCCGGCAACCACACGACGACCGACTAGCAGAGGAGCCCAGGGCTCAACTGCACCGCACCCGAAGAGCGAGCAACCGTCGGAGGCGGGCGTGGCACACATGGAAGACACGGTGACGCTCTCCCCCGCCTCGTCGCCCTCATCACCTATGGTTGAGAACTGCACACTCCTCCAGGAAGGCAGAAGCAATGCACTAGCGGTGACATCGTCACCCATCACTGCCATTGACATCACGCCGTCATCGGCAAACACGGAGACAGTGCAGGAGAACACCGCAAATCCTCCCCCGGCCTTTGACGCACGTCGTGCGGAGCAGACGTTGTACTACCTTGAGGCGGCACGTGTCCTGCGCCAGGTTAACGGAGGCGTGGAGGCACGCGAGCAGTTTCTGCAGAACGAGCTCCAGCGCCAGACGGACCTTCACGATGAGAAGCGGGCGGAGCTTGCTGGAAAGCAGGAAAGCTACCAGCGGCTGCAGGCATCCACCCAGCGCCTCACACGGCAGGTACGGAGTTTGGACAGTGAGAATGACCGCTTGCAGGATCGACTGGCGCAGCTCCAGGCTGACATGGACAAGGCGTTTTCGAGGAGGGCGCTGCGCCACACGCAGTTGGCGTCACGGCAGCCGTCTGCCAGCAATGCGCGCGCAACAGCAACACGTCAAGGCGTGACGAGACAAAACATTGGTGGCGGCTCTGTGATGGTGGTTGACTCCCATGTCTCCGCTCCTTTCCGCACCTCCTCTTCCTTGTCCAGTCTTGCTTCTGTCAGGGATGTTCTCGTGGCGGAGCTCGATGCGTACAACCGGAAGCTGCGTCTGGCAGAGGCGCGGCACGACGAGCTCTTGAGTGAGCTGCAGCTTGCAGTCGCGCGGAAAAGAGGTCGAGCTGCTGCGTATTGTGACAGCTCTGCTGGTTCATTCGCTATGGGGAGGCACGTTGGAGGGCTCGATGGGGCTGTTTCATTTCTTACTGATGACGTGACGGAGGTTGGCGCGATTGAACATTTAGAGCGCATGATAGGCGAGAGTCTTGTGCACTGTGACTGATGCTGCAGCACTCTCAGCTTCTCATGCACCACCCTGCATAGTTCAGCGAACGTGGATCATCACCGGTTCACCTATTATCATTTGCTTACTTGCCTGTACACCTAGCGCGCAGTGCGCTAGACCTCTATGCAATACATACATCTACATATACCTGTGGTATGTGAATGAACGCGGAAAGGGCTGTAGGCATTTAAAACCTATTTATATGTTTATTGTGGTCCTATTTATGCTTCTGTTTGTATTGTTGCCTCCTTTATTGCTTCGATGTTTTCTTGTGGGTCGTGATGGTGCCGATGCATCAATAGGCTTCCAGGCTGTGTCTCCTCTGGGGTATTTTTGAGGGGGCTTTGCTTTCTTCTCCATTGTGTGTTGTCTCTTCTGATATACCTGCTCTGAGCTTGCTTGGGTAAGTAGTTGGGAGGCAGGGTAAGGTCAGGTAAGATGTCCAATGCGCCTGGCGCCTCTACATCATCACGCAAGACGTGGAAGAGCCGCTGGGTAGCATACGGCCGCACGAGTTACGGCGGAAACCCCGTCACACAGCAGACTCTTCCCTCCTTCTTCTTGTACGCCACACCGTACGTCGTCATTCCTGTCTTCGCCGTCGTTGCGGTGGTCTTCATCGCGTTGGGTGTATATTTGGTTCTGGAGCGTGACCGCCACTACGAGGTGCGGCAGACGTACAGCGACATACACCGCTACCAGTACGTGCCCACAGACCCCAACATCAACGTAAACCAGGGCATCCGCAGCTTTGTGGTGGGTAACACTACACACACACAGGGCACACGCACACGCGTCACACTGGAAGTGCTTCAGACACTCAAAGCTCCTGTGTACCTGTACTATACACTGGAGAATTTCTTTCAGAACTTTAGGGGGTTTCACAACGGGCACTCTCGGCATCAAATGAAGGGGGCTGAGCGGATCAGCGGGAAATACAAGGAGTGCATGCCTTTCGAGCGGCCTGGACTTTTAGACGGAAGTGGCAGCACCAAAGTGCATGTAACACTAGATGGCACATCGCATACAATGGAATACCAGGATTTTACATACAATCCATGTGGGATCGCGCCGTGGTCAATGTTCAATGACACATTTGTCTTGTACCGCGTGGTGAGCTCACCTCCCAACGCATCAGACGTGGAATCCGATGCGGATCTCGTTATGATCTGCAACACCAGCGACTTTGGCGTGACTGGTGAGCCTCTGGGACAAAGCGCATCCCCCAATCACTGCCGCAAGAAGGGCATCTCGTGGCCTGCAGATGAGCAGGTGCGCTTCAAGTCGCTGAAGACTGGTGTCGGGCAGTGGTCACTGCGGTACCCGTACCCCAACGATGATGCGTACCTCACCAATGGTTGGTACGCCAATGAGCCTGGGCACAGATTGACGGACCCGCAGGACCTCGACCTGCAGGTATGGGTGCGTAGCGCCGCAGTGCCAAACTTCCGAAAGTTGCTTCGTATAATTGATGTGGACTTAGAAGAAGGGCAATACGTTATGGAAATTGACGAGTTTTTCGACGTCACAACACTGCAAGGCGCAAAGGGATTTCTCCTCAACACTGCCTCGTGGGTGGGGAAAGAGAGCGGCGGTCTTGGCATCGCCTTCCTCGTGGTGGGTTCGGTGTCCTTCATCGTTGGAGTGTCATTTGCCATAGAGTACCTCCTCCGTTGGCGCACATACGAGCATACGCTGCGGGAACCCAAGGCGCGGTGGTACGTGTTTGATCCCAACAGCGTTGAGATGCGACTCTACTATACAGAACGAACGAAGCGCTACGACAAACCAACAAATGGATGGGAAGATGAATCGGACGGATAGCAAGGGAGCATTTGTTTTCTTCTTATCTGTTCTCCAGCGCTTCAAAGATTTCTCACCAGAATGGTGGCGCCTGCTAGGTCATTGTGATGTTATTGCTGTCGAGTTGTGAATTTTGGGCACGATGGCATAACCTTCTTTTCCCCGTGCAACCAACAATACGGCGTGCCAAGTGGCACAGCATGAACCGCAGCGGATAAGTGGGGGAGGTGGTGCCGTGTGCATTGGCCACGAGTCATTTGTTCAGCCCCCATGTGCTTTTCTCCCCCTCCCCTCTTTTCCCTCTACGCCTTTTGTCGGGGGAAGCCACACACGCTCACATCTATATATATATATATATATATATATATATATCTACAAAACCGAATATATGTAGGCTTGGGTGTGAGCATTGGAGCCAACACGCCTCTCGTCTGCTATGGGTGGTGTCACTCGCGTTGTGCTCTGCCTTTGGGAGGGAGCGTGGTCCTCTTGGAGATCCGAGTGGGATCTGGCGGCGGGGGCCGAAGGAATGGGGCAAAGGCCTCAGATGCAAAGTTCCCAACCGAACAAAACAAAAGGATCTATTGGAGGATAAACGTGATCGCACGGCACCCATGGTGTTGCGGCTGTATGTGGGTGGTTGTGTGGTGTGGATTTGAGGAACGGGTCCCATGCGGTTTGTGGGCCCATCGCTGCAGCAACTGATGCGTCGGAGGGGCATGGTGGCGTGTTGCACCGGCCTTGCAGGCCAATGTGTGCAGGTCTCTCTCGGATGTCTGTGGGAGGGGGAGGATGGGCCAGGGCCTGCTGCACTCGGCCTCTGGTGCTATGTCCCCTGCCTGTACCGTCCCTGCGTGTTGATTTGAAGAATGAGGCAAGCTCTGCGCGTAGAAGACAACAAATGGAAAGGGAATTGCGGCGATGCTCGGCATGGTCCTGCACCATACGTGAACCGCGCTGCTGTGCTGTTCGGCATGTCATCTGTGGAAAGTCGAAGTGGTGGCTTCCGGCGCCTCTGAGGTGCTCCAAAGGAGCCACACGCCTGCCGACGCCCACCGACGCCGCCTGAAGAGTGGGCATGACACAAGAGCAGAGCATCGTATTTTGTCAAAAAGCAACAGCAAAAAACAAAAGGGGATAGTGGTCCAGGCCATCTGGATATGCCCATTGGTTGACAGCGTTTCTCGCCACTCGTCGGCAACGAACCCCAAGCGCAGAGGTCTGCTCACTGGAATAGTGCGCCCAACACCATTGTATAAGAAGCATTTTCGTTCGAGGGGGGTCACGCAGCATTTATATAGTTGTGTGTTTTCCCACTCAATGTCAAGATACCTGCTTTATCTCTCTCTGTTAATTCCCATTTATTCTTATTGTTGTTGTCATTATTTCTCGTTGCACGTAACAAGATAACCTGCACATTTTAACCACTAACCAACACAAATGACGCTGACACTTTGGAGCGTCGCGAGCCCCGAGAACGCCCGCAACCATAAGATCCTGGTCGCGGCGGCCTTCGCCAACGTGCCCCTGACGCTGAAGCCGTGCGAGTACGGCCGCGAGAACGAGACGGCGGAGTACTGCCGCAACTGCAGCCCGTGCGGCCGCTACCCCGTGCTGC